ATAAACATTCAACTTAGATGTTCATGCCGTTAATATGTTTCGCATAAACATTCAGTTTAGATGTTTATGACGTGGAATATCTTCGGCATAAACATTCAACTTAGATGTTCATGCCGCTGAATATGTTCGCCATAAACATTCAGTTTAGATGTTTATGACGTGGAATATCTTCGGCATAAACATTCAACTTAGATGTTCATGCCGTTAATATGTTTCGCATAAACATTCAGTTTAGATGTTTATGACGTGGAATATCTTCGGCATAAACATTCAACTTAGATGTTCATGCCGCTGAATATGTTCGCCATAAACATTCAGTTTAGATGTTTATGACGTGGAATATCTTCGGCATAAACATTCAACTTAGATGTTCATGCCGTTAATATGTTTCGCATAAACATTCAGTTTAGATGTTTATGACGTGGAATATCTTCGGCATAAACATTCAACTTAGATGTTCATGCCGCTGAATATGTTCGCCATAAACATTCAGTTTAGATGTTTATGACGTGGAATATCTTCGGCATAAACATTCAACTTAGATGTTCATGCCGTTAATATGTTTCGCATAAACATTCAGTTTAGATGTTTATGACGTGGAATATCTTCGGCATAAACATTCAACTTAGATGTTCATGCCGCTGAATATGTTCGCCATAAACATTCAGTTTAGATGTTTATGACGTGGAATATCTTCGGCATAAACATTCAACTTAGATGTTCATGCCGTTAATATGTTTCGCATAAACATTCAGTTTAGATGTTTATGACGTGGAATATCTTCGGCATAAACATTCAACCTAGATGTTTATGACGTTGAATATCTTCGGCATAAACATTCAACTTAGATGTTTATGCCGTTGAATATGTTCGGCATAAGCATTCAACTTAGATGTTTATGCCGTTGAATATGTTCGGCATAAGCATTCAACTTAGATGTTTATGCCGTTAAATATGTTCGGCATAAGCATTCAACTTAAAAACTGGCGGCCATCTTGAAAACCTGCCCTTGAAAACGACCCTACCTACACTGGTAAAGACCAGATTATTATTATGATGTCATCACCGGAAACAAAACATGAAAGTTTGGATTTAACTTACGTGATGGTTTCATCTTAGGGCTATTATTGGAATCACTGATGATTAGATCCTATATACGAAAAGAAAGTCATTGTCATTCTTGATTGCTGTGTCTGCATGTACGAAAACACAAGCAATAGAAAGAACGGACAAACAGACAAAGATACATCATAATAGTTGACACAAACGTGGGGACAAATATACAGTACTACAACCACAAACTCACCAAATCATCATTTGGAAACATATTTATAATTTCGAAAATCTTTGATTCGTTTTCAATTTGACGAATATGCTCATTTAGGTCGGTCGCCGTCTGTGGAAAAAAAAATCAAAATTAGCGTTTACTCTGTGTGCAAAGTAGAATTTCAGTACAAATGCAAGAACTCCATAAATTTTGGGAAAATTCTATAGATGTTAACCTCTTGTGCTTTCGCCAAGGCTTCGGTTAAATTTTCGAAGTCGGGATGTTCCTAAAAAACATGAAGGTACACATTAAAGAATTTAACAATAAAAGCCTGACGTCAAAAGTGAAACGAGAGTGACAGTTGGCAAGCGAAAGTTTGAGTGAGAGGTTCATCAACTCTCGTCGCCTGGTCAAACGAGAATAAGAGTTGCATGAGAATTGACTGGATATTACCGCTCAAATGAGCAAAATCCAGGGGTGGAAAAAGTAGGCGACCACTGTTCGCTGGAAATGTTAAACAGCTGTAGGAATTTCGTTTGAGTGAAGACTTGCTATTGAAAATTTGAAGGAAACCTTAACACCCATGTCCCACTATATGGTGCAACAACACATGGTTGACCACAGTTAATGGACAGACATTATTCTTTGAATTTAAAAATATGGCCAGCTAGAACATTATGCACATGATTTAACACAAAAATACTCCGTTGGTCTGCAGGAAATTTTTGTCTCCAGGTTTTGATCTCAGGAAGAAAATTCTTTTTCCTTCCTGCCCTGGCAAAGACTCTCGTCAAGTCCCATCAAACCAGCTCAAAGTTAAGTGGATGCAGCCTCGTCCCCAGACGATTTCATTTGCTGCAGGGCCCTGCGTCTGGATGCGAAATCCCACGAAGTCGCGTGGGTTGAGGCGTGACACAGTTGGAGCCTGGGGTAGAGGCTGGAGTGGATGAGAGTTGGTAGTTAAACGCCAGTACAACCCTCGAAATTCGCCTCGGCACTCGGCAATTGCCGACGAAAATGCCGAGGCAAGTTACGATTTTTCATAGTTTGCCTCGGCAAAAAAATGCCGAGGCAATTCTACCCGTGTACCTTACATAAATTACAAACTACGGCGTCTGTTCGATTTTTGCTTAAATTTACAAACTACAGCACGGTGTTCGTTTTTTTTATCACTTCCTCGTTCCAATTGTTGTCATCGACGTTGGGTGAACAACAGAAGATTTCATTCATAGCTACTTTACAAAATATTTCAATTTGAGCTTTCCAGCGTCGGCTTTGGCTGAAATAAAGAACAATCTTGATGGTTTAAAGACGGCACGTCGACAAACTTTGTTTTATCTTTTAGACTGTCGCGTGATTACCGTCAAGTTTATTCTTTCATACTATTTGTTGTTTATTACCACTAACTTTTTAAAAACATTTTGAATCAGGAATTTGTTAAATAACAACAAATTGTCAAACGTCAGAATCTACGCTCGTTATAATATTTGTTTACGATAATTTCCCTATTTGCTTTACTTTAATTACAACTGCCGATGTGAATGCCGAAGGGTGCCGAAGTAATTGCCGAAGGAATTTGAGGTGATTTCATTGCGTGCCTCGGCAAAAAAAATTGCCGAGGCAAACTCGAAAATTATGGAAAGACTTCGGCAATTATTTGCCGAGGCAAAAATAGTTGAATTTTGAGGGTTGCAGTAACGTCTCATCAAGTAACTCTCACCCTGGTTGGATCGCGAGGTTTAACGTCTACTTTACAACGAACAAGAAACAAAAACAAAATGTAACCTACCGGTTCAGTTCTCTTTACAAGTTCCTTCAGTAAAAGTTGATATCTAGGAATCCGCTAAAAGAATATAATTTTAAATGTTTCCAGAAACTGTATATTTTCATTATTCCTATCACACACAGCCATGCGTTTTTACAAGCAAAGCCTAGGGCCAGATGTTCAAAGCTGGGTTAGCTTAACCCCATGACGTTAACTTAAAATTCAAAGCAAATTTCCCAACAGCTTATTTATAAATTTGGAAATATTTGTTCAGAGATCTTGTCTGAATCAGTAGAAGTTTTCTCCTTTGAAGTTTTGAAATAAACGGATGTACAGAAATATACATAAACTAGAACAACGGGTTAAATTTTAACCCAGGGTTAGCCAAGGTGTCCACCCTTTGGTGAAGGTGAAATTCAAGAACTTTTCCAAGAAATTCAAGGCCCTTTTTCAGTAAATTCAAGGACCTAGAACTGGGAAATCTTTAAAAATGGCACGGATTTGCCATAAATAATTCAATTTATTCAGTAATTTTAATCAAAATCACCAATGTTGGCACAGCTGGAGGTTAAGGAAATTAATTCCAGGACTTTCAAGGACTTCTACTGATTTTCAAGGACTTTCCAGTCCTGGAATTATTTATTTCCAATTCAAGGACTTTGCAGAATTTTCCAGACACGTGGACACCCTGGTTGGCATTAATCCCCTGGACAAAAACCATCAAAAGTGTCCCAACAATTTAGAACACTTCAAGTTGATATATGAAGAGACCTTACTAGTACCACCACCTGGCAAATCACTTGTGACATTGGGAGATAGAGCATTTGCATCTGCAGACCCCAAACTATGGAACTCTTTGCCTAAGGCTATTAGGGCCACTAATTCATTATCAACCTTCAAGAGCAATATCAAGACTCTGCTTTTTAACCGTGCTTTTAATGCTTAGATAACTTCTGATTATTGTAATATTTTATTCTCATCCACCTGTAATACGCCTTTGATAATTTTTATGTAATTGGCGCAATATAAATTTCATTTTAAATTAATTAAATTAATGTTTGTTGGGGTCAGGGCTCCAACAGCCCTCGTGCAATATATATATCAGACCAGAAACTAATATGGTTAAGTATATCTATTGATGAATTGATCATAATATTTGCATCAACCTACTTGGATTGGCATTAAAAGCAGCGAGTCTAACGTCTGTCCACAATTCACCTACAGCAAACAAACATGGAGTATAAACAGTTATATAAAAAATTATCCTTCGGCTGCTGAGTGCTGTAAGCTGTTCGAAGTTAGGACAATTTGTGCATTAAAATTGAAGAATGAATTGACTAAAAACCTGTCGAAACCTTCGGAAACTTGTAGAACTTATCTTCAAATGCAAATTGAAGTTTGCCGTTTGCAGTTACCGACCTGCCGTACTCGTCAATCTTTAATAACCTCTCTAATAATATCTTACTTACTCTTGATAAAAAGTTTCTAAATCTGTCGTTTGATTTCTCGTATCGTATTCGGAGCTAAGAAGAAACGTATCGAATTAAAAGGACAATGTAATAACACGAATTGAATCACTTTACACTGTTTATTCATAACATTTGTAGTTCAAGACGTGTATACTATTGCCAACATTGGCCAAAGAGGAATATTAGGAAATACATACATACCTGGTTGGCAGCGGATCGCGAATCAAAATATGGCTTGAACATTTTCAGATAGGAAAACTGTGAAGCAAGAATAATAATAATAATAATCTGTTTAATAAACCGAATTGCAGTAACAACTGAATTACACGGTATACGTAAAATTATATGTATAGACCTAATTACAAGAAATAGAATATAATAAAGGTAAACATACTAAGATTATAAAAATCAAACATATTTAACTGTTACAAAATTTCCAAAGCGGTCAGTGTTCGTGGCAAATTTGTTAGTTGATTGTGTTCTAAAATAATAATTGTGTTCAGAATGCTTAGGTTCTCTCCGAGCAATACATGCCAGTGGATTATAAATAATGTGTTGAATATACAAATATTTATTTGAGCATTTTACAAAATAATAACCATTTTATATCGTGCATGAGGCAAGAGTTTCATAACTTAACTGGTTGTGGTTTAGACAATGGGCTCTATATATATCTGGAGTGAGAATTCGCATGCAAAACGGTCTATGAGAAACTAAGTGAAGTCAAGATGGCGGCCATTGACGTCCAATAGTTCTGAAGGTCGTAAACAGCTTTTATACCACTTTCCTCCAGTTAAATCCAGTTTTTTCTAACAGACCGTATCACTAACCAAGTTATCAGTGCATAAAACCATAGTATTATTCTTTAAATCCATATCAAAACACAATATTTCGGCACACTCCTTGCCAAGATGGCGGAAATTGAAGCAGCTATTGGACGTCAGTTCCAGTCTCTTTCTATTGTTTTTCTCTGCGCGGTTAACACGAAACTGGCGTCACTTTTGGACTCGAGTTCTCGCTCCAGATATATATAGAGTTCAGAGGGTATATGCCAAGACTCACCATCTCGACTAAAACATCTCCAATGATAGTGCTCTCAACTTCCCAGTTTTCCAAACGTAACTTTAACTTTGAAACCATTTCTTTACTAAGTCCATGCAGAGACTACAGAAAAAAATAAACAAAGTTTACAAACTGTAGACTTGGTTTCCAACACAGATTTCCCCCCGATTTTTTCACATTTTTTTCAGATTTCTATACAGATTTCAGATTTTTTTCTTGAGATTTCTTGGTTTCCAACACAGATTTCTTCAGCATTACAAAATAGACTAACCTCAATATTTGAGAATATAACATCTATTTCGTCCATGGATAAGATTCCATAGATTTTCATGGGTTGAATAAAATGCTGTAAAATACAAAATGGGATAAAGAACAGTTTGAATCTTAGTTTATCATCATATCATAAAAACTTATATTAAATAATAAAATTGTGCCTGCTTTGCGAAGCACAAGGTAAGCACAGTTTCATTCAAAATTTGAATATTTGAGTCAAATATACTTGACACACCTAGCTATTGGGCTACCTATCATTACTGAGTGTTAACCACGCTGAGGTGAAGTGCCAAGCCACATTTTTCAATGGACAAAGGACCACTCGTGTAACTTGAAAATGAATGAATTAACCTCTTACCTCGACTAATAAATCTAAACCATTGCAATATGAAACTTCTGTGGATAGGATTTCCTGCAAGAGATACAAAACACAAATAGTTCGTTATCGTCACAGTAACGTGCAAATCCTAAAATAAGTTCAAGCTTTCGTTGGTCGGGATCCAACTACCTGAAAATATAGTTTGAGGTAATTGCGTCCCTATACCAACGAAAGCTTGTTCATTTTATTGACACTAGCAAAGACAGTTCAAAATTCCTAACATATACTTATACATATACATATACCGGGTGGCGCAGAAAAAAGTTCCCCTGTTTGATTTGATATAGCGGAAAAAGTAAAACGGCTATGTCGCTCAAATAACTTTTACCGTATCCAAAAGGGGCCAACTTAAATTTTGATAGGTCATACCCTATGGGTCATACAAGCGATATTGGAGAGGTTAAGATACCCCGGTTTCGGTGTACTGGTACGAGTAGTGACAACTTGTTTTACTGATGTCTGTAATTCGATCATACTTTTTCTGTTTTCTTGCAATAGACAATGATATAATGCGAAAAATGTGCACCTTAATTACGAGTAAAGGTACAGACATTGACGAAAATATTGCTAACCAAAATCATGCTACCCGTACACGTACACCGAAACCGGGGTATCTTAACCTCTCTAATGACTGAGATATACCAGCGTTTAAACTGGCATAAGCATTTTCATAACATGTTATTTCAAAGAGGAGAAAACTCAATCACCATATACCTCTGCTGCTTTAGTCCTCCTTCCATTTTTATCAAGCTCTGAAAAATACACAAAAACTATTGTTTCATATATAATTGAATCAAACTGCCCCATAGATATCTTATATACACTAGATAGTGCATATAATTATTCTGCAATTCAAAAATTGAAGCCGTGATTGCAGACTCAGGATATTCCCATGAAATGAGAAGACTCGTATGTTTTCTTAAACAGGAACTTAAACATTAAGTTAAACCTATTCCAAATACATTTTCAAACTATTCAAATGATGAAAGTTATTGCTGTTTTTTAAGCGTTCATTAGCGAGTGGGAAACTTCAACATGGCCGCCATCTATTCAAATGGGGGTAACCGCTGGAATATTCTTGGCTTCAATTTTACTAAAAGAGATGCGCTACCTAGTGTATTTATAAGATATCTATGAACTGCCCACTTTAATAAACCACTTCAGTGTCTCCACTGCACATCCAAATGACGCATTCTGGGAGGCTCTATAGCCAAAGTGGCGTACTTTCCGGAAGCGTGTATTGTTCTTTGAGCAGCTTTTTGCATAGTCAATGAACAGTTGATGACTGAACAGTTGAAAATTTTCATATGCATATTCAAATTCGTCCAGTCTCAAACTGCAATATATTCAGACACAGGACCGTCATTTGGATACGTTCGTCGTCGGAATCGATGGTTTGCAATCAATCTCCTGAGATTTATAAGACAAAGACACAAGAATAAGAATAAAAAGGTATAGCAGAAGTGTAACTCGAGTCGGTTCCCTTATTGTTTTACGTCCACGAAAATTTTAACTCGCTCACGCCATCCTGGCTAGTACAACCGGACGTTTTTATCAGGTTTTGGTATAGGTACAAAGTGCCGGTTGTACTAGCCAGGATGGCGTGATTGATGACGAATCGCTTGTAAAAACGCGGACAAATACTTGCTTGAGTTACACTTCTGCTGTACCTTCTTATTCTGTGACAAAGACATGGCAGCCATGTTGGAGGAATATACGCGCTCCAAATACAACAGCTGTTAATGAGATTCTTTTGTTGAGCTTTCGGCCTCCAACATGCCTGCCATGACATCAATAGACCTTTCCTCTTTTGAGTGAAATTTTGATCTAGACAAGTCTGGACAAAAATTTGGCTTGAAAGAGCATCACAAAATTAGTAATATTCCAAAGTTTCGTTGCGAAATGTTGTAAAATGGGGATAATATAGCCTTGCGAAGTTTGCCCGTTTTTCAGTCATTTGCCATTTGGTATTACAAACGGGAAATTGATAATCAGATGATCAAACTGATGCAAAATGTTACATTGTAATTCAAAATGACTGAAAAACGGCAAACTTCGCAAGGCTATATTATCCGCATTTTACAACATTTCGCAACGAAACTTCGGAATATTACTAATTTTGTGATGCTCTTTCAAGCTGTGATGGAATTGTTGCCCAGGCATATCTAGATCAAAATTTCACTCATAAGGGGAAAGGTCTAGTGCAAACCAAGAATTGGCTTATTTATCTGCTTTTACTAATTTTCATGCGAACATAATTAAATATCGAGTTGAAATCTGAAATAATAACAAATGGGAAAAATATTTTTCACGCTCTTGTACCTTTGGGTGTGTCCCCATTGACCATCGTCTTATCGTCAGTCAACCCCATGCTACAAGACTCATTGTTGTTTTCTATTTCTGGCGGAAGATCGATGCCATTACAGCTGTAGAAAACGAATGCAAAATATTGTTTATTTATATCTCACAAGAAACATAACGTGTGAAACAATTAGGCTTAGTAGGGCGCCAAAGTAAGATCTATGTCTGTTCACGACCAAGGGCGCAGAATATAGACCATACAGAAGGTCGAACCGCCGCCACGTCATGGTTCATCTGGGGGCATCCTCGCACTATTTGGGGTAAGGGATAAAAATATATAATTACCACCCCTCCCCATTTTACTATATATATGGGTTAACGCACATCTGTGAGATGGACATGTAATATATATATATATATATATATATATATATATATATATATATATATATATATATATATATATATATATATATATATATATATATATATATATATATATATATATATATATATATATATATATGAACCCTTCTTCGAAATATATATATATACGAACCCTTCTTCCAAATTTGATATCATTTCAATATAAGTAAATCACAAAACGACCTTTTTTAAGACTTTATTCTTATCCTACGTTTCGGGGCATGCCCCTTTATCAAGGATAAATAACAGAGTTAGATGTACATGCTTTTATATCCTATTCAATTCATTAACATAAATTACCCAAAATCCCTTACATTTAATCCCTTAGGTGCAAACGTGTCCAAATTATATGCCCAAAATGCCTCTCTTTGCGTAGGATCATTCATATTTGTTTTGTCAATAATAATAACTCTGAGATCTGCCAAGCCCTCGTGTTCCTCGCCAAAAAAATGCGCATACAAGCGCTCGCCAGCCATATGCCTGATCCCTTCCCATATTTCCTAAGAGAACTCTTATGGTTGTATAACAACTTTTAGGAAGAGGTTTAACAACCATAAGAGTTCTCTTAGGAAATATGGGCAAGGGATCAGGCATATGGCTGGCGAGCACTTGTATGCGCATTTTTTTGGCGAGGAACACGAGGGCTGATATCGAATTTGGAAGAAGGGTTCGTATATATATATATATATATATATATATATATATATATATATATATATATATATATATATATATATATATATATATATATATATATATATATATATATATATATATATATATATATATAACTATATATATATATATATATATATATATATATATATTTATATATATATATATATATATATATATATATATATATATATATATATATATATATATATATATATATATATATATATATATATATATATATATATATAGCTTCTTTGGGTACTTATAATGCAGAATAATGAAAAAAATTTCTTGAACTCAAATTTTGTGAACCAGGGGGGTGCGTCTTTTCCAACAATCTAAAATGGCTCGTGCACAAAATTTAAAAGTTGTAATCATATTTTGAGTTAATAGATGGAAAATTTGTCGGGTTTTTAATTACTGTACAAAATGTCAGAAAATTTGGTTTAGTTTAAGCCCTTTAACTATTCACGCAAAGTTACATTTTTCCTAAAAATCAGCTTTTCGCATGCTTAATTAATGCATTTGCCTAATTTGCATATGTCAGCAACATGCAAATTAGGTAAAGGCATTTAATTAAGCATGCGAAAAGCTGATTTTTTAGAATAAAACAAATAGTTAAAGGGCTTAAACTAAACCAAATTGTCTGAAATTTTTGTACAGTAATTAAAAACCCGACAAAGTTTCCATCTATAAACTCAAAATATGATTACATCTTTTAAATTTTGTGCGCGAGCCATTTTTAGTTTGTTGGAAAAGACACCCCCCCCCCTGGTCCACAAAATTTGAGTTTGAGAATTTTTTTTCATGGCGTCGGCATCCAGCCGCTTTTTGCCTTATCGGTAGACAATCGGAATCGGTAGAATTATCTATATATATTTTCGATTGTCCAGGGTTTTTTTCAGGGATTTTTTAGGGCCGTTAAACTTCTTCTTGTTGTATAAACAAAGCACTAGCTTCAATAGCATCATTTGCATTTGATAATTTGGATAGTCTTGTTTACTTTTATTTTTAATTTCTTTATTTTTTGAAGTAGCCGTTAAACGGCCCCAAAAACTCCATCTTGAATTGAGTTTTGAAACTCAATCTTCTCACCAAAGTTTCAGTGCAGTAAAAATGAAGTTGTTTGAGTTAAATTCGTGACGTGTGGAAATTAGTTTTCAGTTGGAATCCCGACAATTAAAAAAAAATGGCTGGAATTAATCTTACAACACAAGAAAAACTATGCATTCGCCATCTTTAACCAGTTTATAGTGTCCCTTAGTGCCCCTGCTTTAACACATTCCGTCTCAACTACATTTATTGAGTACAGGTGTCAGCCCCCCGGTAGGGGGGGTGCAGCCACCCCATATGTTCAGCTTAACTCAATCTTCTCTGCAAAAACGGACCCAAGAGAAAATCCTGAAAAAAACACTGTTGTCTAAAACCGATTGTTGAGAAAATACGCACTGTATAAATTATATGCATTGCATGTTGCATTGTTGCATGATACACGTTGCGTTTCAACGCAATATGATAAAATAATTGTCAGAAATTCATGATATTACAGAATGTCATATGAACTGTTATTTTTAATGTAGACTGATAGTACTGATGGAACTGAAAAGGAAGCAGAACAAACAAAGCTAGCTATTGAACCTGAAAATACAATTCAAGTTGCAACAGAAGAAAAGCCGAAGGATACTATGGGGGAAACTTTAGTCTGTGGTATTTGTCAGGTAAATTAAATGTTTAATTCTTCAAGCAAACTCGTAAACAAGTACCAAACCTCATTGTTTTTTAAAAAAAAATTTGGAAAGTATTAAGTGTAACTGTTTACTGACCTTCATGTATTGTTTACAGGATATCTTTCATGACTGCTTAAGGTAAGGTAAACTTTTACATTATTGAGTTTTGAGCAAGCAACATTTTTAACACCATCACTTTAGAAAAGCCTTTGACTCGGTCCCGCATGATATCGTAATTGGAAAACTTAAACAAACAAACCTAAATCCTTATATCATCAATTGGATTATAAGTTTTCTGACGAATCGAAAACAAAGGGTAGTGGTGGACGGAATTATAACAAAATATGTAGATATTAACAAGGGAGTGCCACAGGGAACCGTCATTGGCCCGTTTCTATTTTCTCTTATGGTTGATGACATTAAACCCAAACAACCTGAAACTAATGTATTGGTTAAATTTGCTGATGACATGACAGTTAGTGCACCAGTAAAGTCAAATAGTGATTCTGCAACAATGGAAGTGAGGAACATCGAGAACTGGGCAAGGAGAAACAGAATGACTCTAAATCTAACAAAAACATGGGAGATGCTTCTGAGTGGCGGAACGTCTAAGCCGCCACCAGCGCCTATAGAAGGTATTGAACGCAAGGAATGGCTAAAACTGCTAGGTGTTACTTTCGAGGACGATGTGTGCTGCTGGGACCTGCACGTTAATGGCTTGTTGTCGAAGGCCGGAAGCCGAATGTATATTTTAAGAGTATGTAGAAGGTATGGATATTGGAAGGAACATCTCAGCTATCTTTTTGACTCAATAATACTATCGTTGTTTTTATACGGTATTGAAATTTGGGGCTCAGCTCTTCAAAAGAAATATTTAGAACGCATTGACAAGTTTTTTAAGCGAGCGTATCGATATGGTTATGTACTGAAAGAGTATAAAATGTCTGAGCTGATTGAAACGAGAGACAGAATTCTATTCAATAGGATTTTAGATAATCCAGAACATATTTTATATGAACTACTGCCTGAAAAAAGACAAAAAATTTTAAGAAAACGTGATCATCCTTTCATCCTACCTCAAGTCAGAACTGAAAGATTTAAGCGTTCCTTTGTAAATAGGTGTCTGTTTGATTATTTTTAGTTTTTGTTGCATGCGTATAAACTATCTTAAATTATTACATTAATATTGTAAATATAGTAAACAGTTTATTTTAAAATTGTAACTAAAATCATGTAAAGACACACGTCTGTTGTGTCTAAGGATTACCAAAATAAAGATTTTTATTATTATTATTATTATTAATCCTTAATAATCCGCATGCTAATTTTGTCTGGTCCTGGAAATTTGTTCGACGGCATTGTTGTTATTATGCATTGCACCTCTGTGCATCAGTGTGACGGGAGTGAACTTGAACAATACCGTAGAGAAGAGTTCAGATCTCCTATTCTGGCACTCCAACTCAGTTGATATATTTAGGTTATTTTGTAGGGTTAACGTTTTACCGGTTTCGGCAGGTCGTTTCCCCACAGATTGAAAAAACTGGTTGAAATCATTGGCAACCTCTAATGTGTTTTTGTGGTGAGTCAAAATTCTTTTATCTTTTGATGGAATGCACCATTAATCACTTTCCACAACGATCTAGGATTATCTTTATGGAGGTTAACCTCAATTCGAACATGTCGTTTTTCAGCAGCTTTTAAAATAGATTTGACTGATCTTTGGGCGTTTTTAAATGCTCTCCAATCTTCGACATCGCGTGTTTGTTTGTAACGACGGTGGAGTTGATCTCTGTGGGGCATTTGGTTTTTTATATCTGTGGTGATAAAGGGACAAGAACGGTTTCTTAATTATTCTGACTGGGGCATGGACAGCCAAAGTTGTGAGAAGGACGTTGTTGAACTTGTCGAGTTTGGAATTGACATTCGAATCCGAAAAGATGGAAACAAGCTCTTCCGATCTTGATGCGAGCTGGGCAGTGAACCTTTCGTCGTCGTAGTCCTTGCAGCTTCGCATTAGGATATATTGCGGTGGTGGCTTGGGTTGCTTCGTATAAAGCACTGCGTACACCGGTAAATGATCGCTTTTAGTAGTATCCATGACACCATTTTCGTTAACAAGATGGGAAGTTGACGTTATTAACGATTCACTAGTGTCTGTTAGTCTAGTTGGTGTTGTGATTAATTGGTTTGAGTTCATCTCGAGCATGAAGTTTCCTAGTGCTGTAATTCTCTGTACAGTCCTTCATAACGTGGCAATTCAGATCTCCCAATATAAAAATGGGCTTGTTTAGGAGAAGGGCTTGGACAAAACACGGTTTGGCAAGTTGGTTTCTAGGCAGGACAGCGGACACTCTGGTGGTCTGTAGGATATGCATATTACGATAGATTTTAACTTTTTGCTCCACTTTTGAAGATCCGCTAGAAATATTGGTGGCTACGTGGCTATGCAGTGAGTACGAGAACGAGGCAATGAAGTGATTGCGTAATTACTAAAGTGAGTTTTACGTTCTCGAGTTTTACGAGAACGATGCAATGAAATGATTACGTAACTACAAAAGCGTAACTGCTACGCAGTGAGTTTTTAAAAGAACGAGGCATTGATATAATGACGCAATTAATTACTAAAGTATACTGAAAGTATATTTTTTAGTGGCTACTTGGCTACGCAGTGAAGTTTTTAAAGACCGAGACATTGATATAATGACGTAATTACTAAAGTATACTGTAGGTATATTTTTTAGTGGCTACGTGGCTACGCGGCTACGCAGTGAGGCTTTGAAAGAACGAGACATTGGTATGATGACGTAATTACTAAAGTATGCTGTAGGTATATTTTTTAGTGGCTACGTGGCTATGCGGCTACGCAGTGAAGTTTTTAAAGAACGAGACATTGTTATAATGAAGTAATTACTAAAGTATACTGTAGGTATATCTTTTAGTGGCTACGTGGCTACGTGGCTACGCAGTGAGGCTTTGAAAGAACGAGACATTGGTATGATGACGTAATTACTAAAGTATACTGTAGGTATATTTTTTAGTGGCTACGTGGCTACGCGGCTACGCAGTGAAGTTTTTAAAGAACGAGACATTGATATAATGACGTAATTACTAAAGTATACTGTAGGTATATTTTTTAGTGGCTACGTGGCTACGCAGTGAACTTTTGAAAGAACGACACATTGATATAATGACGTAATTACTAAAGTATACTGTAGGTATTTTTTTAGTGGCTACGCGGCTACTCAGTGAGGCTTTGAAAGAACGAGACATTGATATAATGACGTAATTACTAAGTATACCGTAGGTATATTTTTTAGTGGCTACGTGGCTACGCGGCTACGCAGTGAGTTTTTAAAGGAACGAGACATTGATATAATGACGTAATTACTAAAGTATACTGTAGGTATTTTTTAGTGGCTACGTGGCTACGCGGCTACGCAGTGAGTTCTTAAAAGAACGAGACATTGATATAATGACGTAATTACTAAAGTATTCTGTTGGTATATTTTTTAGTGGCTACGTGGCTACGTGGCTACGCGGCTACGCAGTGAGTTTTTAAAAGAACGAGACATTGATATAATGACGTAATTACTAAAGTATACTTTAGTAATTACGTCATTATCTCAGTCTCTCGTTCTTTTAAAAACTCACTGCGTAGCCGCGTAGCCACGTAGCCACTAAAAAATATACCTAGAGTATACTTTAGTAATTACGTCATTATATCAGTCTCCCGTTCTTTTAAAAACTCACTGCGTAGCCACGTAGCCACAAAAAATATAGCTTCATTACAATTACGTCATGATATCAACAAGAGAGAGGTATTTCCTTGATATTGTAATTTGATAGCGCGTGACTGCGTAGCCACTGAAAATCTGGCTACGCAGTGAAAGATAACTAGTGGACGGGTATTCTGCAATTTAGCCCTCAGATGTTTTGAAAACATAATTATATAGTGAGTATATTTCAATACTAGCTCTTCTGTTTGTGCTGTACAGTAATTAGTACAATATCTGTTTGTCGGTTTCAGTAATTAAAACATGTTCTGTTACTGTATATATTCGGTGTGCCACAAGACTTCTTAAGCCAGTTTGGCATACCGGACAAAGATTTTTGGAAAAGCAATAGATTTTTATTGTACTAGCTAGCATATTTTTCTACTGCTAAGGGTATATATTATTTTTATTCGTGTTTTATATCGAGCACTTGTGCTCATTGTAATATTTAAATGCCCATTCAGATCCTCATGTGCAAAAATCAAAAGTATATTTTCTGTTACTTAGTATTACTTTTTGAGAAGTTGGTTTTGGAGGCCAAAGCCTATAGAATGTTTTGAAAAAGTTTTGGAAATTCAAAGGAACGAATGCACATTCAAATAATGATTTAACAGTTGAATACTTTGATATGCTTATTTTAATTCTTCCAGTCTCAGCTACACAGTGGTGTTATGCATGAGTCAATTCCAAGAGTAACCATCCCCCCCCGGGAACACACCCGGGCATTTGATTTGATTGGTTATGATAGTGTAAATTTATGCCCGGGTGCCGGGACACAACTTGAAGACTAATGCACGGCCCCTGGGCAAGCTGAGAGTGGAAAATGCTCCACCCCGGTGACGATTTTACAGTTGATTTCACGAAACTTTGACCACAAACGTTCCGAACTTCGTTTCGAAGTTAGCAAGTTCGTTGCAAAGTTTGGAAGCTCATATTGGAATTCACAAGCCAATTTGTACACAAAGTCCCTGATTGGTCCGTGAAGTAAAAGAAGCCAATCAGATGCGTAGTTTACGAATTGGTTTGTGAATCTCATTATGAACTTTTGAACTTCGCAACAATCTTGTAAACTTCGCAATGAAGTTCGGAAAATTTGTGGTCAAAGTTTTGTGAAATCGACTGTAAACGTTTAATAATTAAACTTTTAATGGCATATAATTATAGTCATATAATAACATTAGTATTAAACTGCTATGGAATATTATAAAACATAAACCTTTAACAGTTGTATTTAAATTTGCATGGCACAGGGTATAATTTTCGCTTATTCTTACAATAAATTTCACGCCACCTTGACCACGAGGGTGCAAAATACGATCAGGGCGCCCGCGTGCCTGAAACTAGGTTTTGCTGCCTTATTAAAAATTTGTGGGTGGGATTTTGGTCAACCATTTGTCAAATCTCCGGGGTCCTCCAATACCCGGCCCCCGTGCACATATATGAAAGGCAAATTCCCGACCCCCGTGAACTGTCTATCGGGCAAATTCCCGAGGGGGGGATGGTTACTCCAGGAATTGACTCATGCATTACTTAACACTTGCCCGCTTGCCTGGCGCAAGTGAATATAATGACGGGCAAGTAAACGTTTTATCTTGCTTGCCCGATTGGGGGAGTTGTCTTGCCATAAAAAGCTGGGCATCTTTAAGTTTATGTTTTCATTATCAGATATAAATTTTTTATAGTGCATGGACTAGATTCAAATTTTGTTTTTCGTGGGCCAAAGCTAGATCTGAGGCAGTATAACATAGCCATATAGAGCAGTGGGAGAACAGGTCGACATGTTGTCCCCTTAACTTACTGTATACCCCCTACCTAGATTCTATGTGAGATGTTTGATGCAATTTCATTGCACGGCCTTGCTAAAGAATTATGTTCAGAGTTTAATGTTGAAAAATGTATATATTTTGTAGTTTGTACACACTACATTATGAGATATTTGTGCATTTTCACAAACTTAATCTTGCGCATTATTAACCCATTAATGTACAAGACTTTCCCCCGTAATGAGTAAAATTGTCCGTTGGCAAGCAAATTGTCTGGCGTTGGACCAATGTCCAGCCAGACAACCTGACGAGAACCTGAAGCAGCCCAAGCAACAGCCAGGGCTAAGACGGTCTTACCCAGGCCGCCCATTCCACGGATACCAAAAATGTCGCCGCTTTGACTTCCGATCACACCAACTTTACTATTGCCCGGTATAAGTAACCCCAATATCTCGTTCACTTCTGATGGTCGTTCCACCATATCACGAAGTAGACTGCGCAATCCATACGGAACTAAGATATAAAATGGGAGAGTTCAGAATGAACTAAACTGAGCCAACTGTACATTTACTGATTGATTCTATCAGTTCTAAACAGTTTTCGCCAGACGTACAGTTGGGGCCAGTCAGTTTTTATGCAGTATTACTACAGAAAGAAACCTAAACGAAAATAACTTTATTTATATACTTAAATGTTGTCCCCTTAACTTACTGTATACCCCCTACCTAGATTCTATGTGAGATGTTTGATGCAATTTCATTGCACGGCCTTGCTAAAGAATTATGTTCAGAGTTTAATGTTGAAAAATGTATATATTTTGTAGTTTGTACACACTACATTATGAGATATTTGTGCATTTTCACAAGCTTAATCTTGCGCATTATTAACCCATTAATGTACAAGACTTTCCCCCGTAATGAGTAAAATTGTCCGTTGGCAAGCAAATTGTCTGGCGTTGGAGTAAAGTTAGAAAGTCTGATGCATTGAGGTGCATTGCTGTTTAATGTCTTTAATGTGTTAAATCAGTCAGTCAAGCATTCAGTAAGTTGGTCAATTAGCCATCCAGTCAATCTGTTTATAGATGGTTGATTAGCGAGTCAGCCGATCGGTTGGCGAGTCAGTTGACCAAGGCTGGCAGAAATCAGTTGGTCAGTCAGATTATTGATCGGTTAGTCGATCAGGCAGTCATTTTCTTATTTAACAAGTCCAACTTTGCAGAAAAGATGGTTTAATATTTTTTTTCGTTGTATCTTGCAACATTGACTTTTATGTCAATCACATGTAAAAATCTCACATGTTGATGTCTTTGCAACAGCAATGTAGCAACTTTCTCAGTAAGTTGTAACAATGTTCGTGTTATCAAATTCATACAAGTTTGTCACTGACAACTTGTTAACAAAAAATAGGACCATAACAACTCAGTTGTTTGATCAACTTGTCACAAGTCTGTTAACACCTAACTGTTCAAAGCTATTTGTCTGATAGTCAGTGGCTCAGTGCTGTAAAAGTTACTACTCACTGTTACACGTTGCTACAGATTTTGTATCTAGTTAGAAAGTTGCAAGTTACAAAAATTTTGCAGCTAGTTACTAATGCACATTTGTAAAATAGCTGCAATAATTATGTCAAACATATATTATAATGCCAAGCAATAGCAGGAGTCAAACTCCGATTTATAGATTGAGTTATGTCAATAGTCAACGCGAAGTGAATTAGAAAAAAAAAACAATTGTTTAATTTAACCAGAAAAAGAATTTTCACACATTGAGCAGCATTGTAGTATGAAAACCTAAAACCCTGCGCAACAGAACAGCCTTTCACATGTTTGACTTGTAGGCACTAGTGTTCAGTGCAGTTCAATGAAAATCTTGCAAAGTAAACTTTCGTCGTACTGCAACGGCATAATGAAAAATATTCGAACACGTGGCTGCAAAATTGAGCGATAACTGTGCGTGGCCGAAATTTGGGATAAAACAGCCTTTTAGTAAGTTGGATATCACCAAAAATAACGGCTCGCTTGAGGTCACAATATAACTGGTTACCGTTGCTTTTTATCATTTTTTGTAACTAGTTACAGTACAAGTTACCTTCTCGAGAAAGTAACTAGCTACCGTAACAGTTACTCAAAATGTAACAATTACATGGAACTAGTTGCTTGTAACGAATTAGTTACTCAGCACCGCAATCTCGTCAATAAAAATAATTTGGTCAGAGAACGTCTCAATTTTAATCGGTAATAACTTATCGTTCACACTATTTTCCAGGAAATGAAACTTGATATTTTACATTTCCTTAGATCCTTTGCATTCGAAGACTTCATTCAGAAAACTCTTGTGAAATTGTCGGATGATTTAAACCAAGCTCCGAGTATTGACAAGATGAAAGAATGTTTGCGTAACGAAGGTTAATGAAATGTTTGTGTGACGTCACTCTGAGTGTGTATCCATGCCGGGCAGGCTTGAAAAATATGCCCGGCCACGGCGGGCCGGGCATATTTTTCAAGTCTGCCCGGCGTGGATACACACTCAGAGTGACGTCACACAAACATCTTATTCACCTGAGTACATTACACCAACACAGCAGATTTCATGAAGGTTAATGAAGTTGTACAAGGTATTGCTCATCAAGACATTTGCCCGTTGGATATTTTCAAACATTGATACAAGCTTGTTTAATCTCTCTAAAGGAGTTATCTAAATTGAAAGATATGATGAAATTTTGTTCAAGAAATTATCTTATTCAACGCATTGACGTGTTTAACAATAACTGCGGCGTTTTCAGAAAAGGTAAAGTTTGCCTTTGTTCTATAATGCATATGCAGTTGCCTCTTCCTGATTTGCGCATGCTCTAATGCAGTTTCCTGTTCGAACCGTAGAAGGTTTATAAGTAAAATTGCACCAATATTATAACGGATAGCGCTTGTTTGAGAACGTATAGCTATTTTATTATATATTAGTATTGCCTGCCGAGTTTTTAACACGAGCCTCTGCGTCGGAAGATTTGGAAACCACTTCTTGCGTCATCGACATTGATCAGTTCATTAAATCATTTAAATTGCACTTTGAACAGTTTGACATTACTTTTTACTGACTTCTTACGGCTTCTTTTCAGCCCTTTAGTCCTTGAATGTCCTGTCACATGGCTTTCAATGTCCTAAACCGTGGTAGCAATGCCCGAACAAACGGGATGAGAATGCATGAGAATTGACAGTCACGTGACGTTGGTTAGCTGTTCTTGATGCTTTCCCAAAGGTCGATTTACACTGCACAACTTTTGCCTAAAACTGTCGCATGCAACCTGCTTACAGCTTGAGTTGTACTGTGTAAAGCGCACAACTTTAAAACGTAGTTGGAACACTCGTGAAACTTTTATTATGTTAATCTAGAGTTTGAAATGTTCCCTGTAATATTTCGTGACTTCCAGCTCTCATAAACTCTTATTCTCGTTTGACTGGGGCTTTACAATGAACAAACAAGTAAGGAATGGCCCGTACTGGACCTCTTGAGAGAACTGTTTAGAACTGATAGGGCTACTCAGTATAAATACAGTTTAGTGGGTTTCTCGAACTCTTTCGTTTTATATCTTAGTTCTGTATGGATTTCACAATTTACGTCGTGACATGGTGGAACAACCAACAGAAGTAAACGAGATAGTGGGCTTACTTATGGAGAAGAATAATAGAGTGGGTGTGGTCGGCAGTCGTTGGTATCCACGGTATGGGGGGCTCGGTAAGATTGTCTTAGCCCTGACTATTGCTTGGGATGACTTCGTTTCTCGTCAGGTTATCTGGCTTGACATTGGTAAAACCGCAGACTGCTTAGCACTGATTAATATCCTCATAAAAGCTCTTCGGGGAGTTGTATCGTTCAGTGATATGTCGACCGGACAAGTCTGAGTAAAAGCAAATACGGTATATATGCATTCATTGTTGTGTGTAATTCTTATTTAGGCGATGTGACACGGAACGATTTTCAATAACGATTTGCAATGCAAATTACTGTAATTAATGCAAATTATATATAAGCGCCCTGGACGACGACGACGTGGACCGTGGTTGACAATTTTTGCCTGTCTTGTACATTATCTTACGCATTCTGAGTTTAGGGTCGTCAGGCGTGAAGACAGATTAGAGATTTATGCCTAGCTGTTTAAGCGCTTAGAACATTCTGGTATAGGCGCTATATAAATGTTAGTATTGTTATTATTGTTATTATGAACGCTGACCCAAGTCCTTACCCTGATCAGGACAAAACAGGAGACATGAACCATATCTCGTCTCCGTTCTTCTGTCTTCGTTCACAACGAATATTTTGGCAAAATTCGCTGTGAACTTCGTTCCGAACGAAGGCTGAAGAACAAAGACGGGATATAGTTTCATGTCTCGCTGTTTTTTTCTGGTTCAGGGCAAGAATAAACAGCGACACATGGGAAGACACGTTGAGCAACCACCAATGACGTCCAACTCAGTATGCGCAAGATAATGTGCAGACGGCAAAAATTGGCAAGTACGGCTTCGTCTTTGTACTTCGTTGTCTTACTCTCTATTGACAATTTTCCGACGGGTCTCAATTTTCCGACGGGTCTCCGGCCACGGCGCCACTGCCGAGCCCGCATTAAAAATTCACTTGTAAAAAAAAACAGATTGGTTTAAACTTCATCTAACCCTCATTTAATTAATACATATTGAAATAAATAGGGTTAGAAAAGGTATGTATTTCAAGCTGTGTGCCGCAAATAAACGAACCGCCGATTTTAAAGGCCTGATTCCACGACGGTGAAATTCTTCGCACGAAATCGTGTGTGTGTGAAATGCCGAAATATGATGGATGGCTGCACATGAGTGATTCTATTGAATTTGCACTCTTTTTTCGCTTTCGCAGTGAGTAGAACGGACTTCTACTCACTGGCGAAGCGAATTTTTTTCTCGCGAAACCTAATTTATCTTTACTGCGCATGCACGATTTCATTTCGTGCGAAATATTTCGCATTTCGCCGAGAAAAAGCGCTCGTGGAATCAGGCCTTTAGGTTTCACACCAATGCCCAGCAAAACATATATTCTACAGAATTTTTGCATTATTGACAGCATTAAGCTATATAATCAAGGATTCCCTTTTTTATACAATACATTTTATCAGGGGCCCCCCATATTTTGCCAGGGGGGGGGGCATATTTTGCCAGAGGGCCCCAAAATTTTGCTAGGGGGTGCCGGGCCCCCCGGCCCCAGCCCTGGCTACGCCTCTGGGAATGGCGCGTACTGGACCTCTTGAGAGAATTGTTTAGATCTGATAGGGCTACTCAGTATAAATACAGTTTAGTGGGTTTCTCGAACTCTTTCGTTTTATATCTTAGTTCCGTATGGATTTCACAGTTTACCTCGTGACATGGTGGAACAACCATCAGAAGTAAACGAGATAGTGGGCTTACTTACGGAGGAGAATAATAGAGTGGGTGTGGTCGGCAGTCGTTGGTATCCACGGTATGGGGGGCTCGGTAAGATTGTCTTAGCCCTGACTATTGCTTAGGATGCCTTGGTTTTTCATCAGGTTATCTGGCTTGACATTGGTAAAACCGCAGACTGCTTATTGATAATTTATTGATAATTTAATAAAATACCGATTTGTAACCTATTAGGTTAAATTACATCAGTAAAAAGTCTTATTATACTACAATAGAATATCTAGATGCATAAAATTATTCATAACTTCGGTTGAAAAAGTTATAGAGTTCAAATTTAAAAATATTAAAAATATTAAAATTATGGTCTATTCATATGTGAAACCATCTGTGGAAAAAACGATTTCATAAATCTGTCCGTTTTACAACTATAGTTATTATAATCGCTTCCATAACGTGTATTATAGTTATGTTTAAGTTTAGGCGGTAAGAGGTCACCCAATTTGTCTCCATGTGCATTTTTAACAAAAAAACGTTCGCATAATAATCGCCGCCGATCTTTCAGTAAGGGTATACCAGTAATACTGCAAGCTTCTCTATAAGTAGCGAATGGCAAGACAATACGCAGAGCCCGCTTCTGGAGTTTTTCGATATCTTCACTTAGGTATTCTGTAATATTGAAGTGCCAAACTTGGCAGGTATATTCGAGTACTGGTCTGATAATGGTGCAGTATACCAAAATTAGAATGCTATTTTCGGCATTTGATCGTTTTAACAACCTTAGCATATAAAGGCGTTTTCCCGCTTTTTTAACAATATGGTTCACATGCTCGTTCCATTTCAAATCATCTTGGATTGAGAGACCAAGAATTCGGGCAGATTTTACCCGCTCAATACCAACGTCATTTATAGTTAACGGTAAAAACTCATGTTTTTCTCTTGCAAAGTCAATTACCATTTCCTTACATTTGCCGATGTTGAGCTTCATATTATTAACTTCACACCAATTATAGATAACATTCACTAGATCTTGTAGTTCACTACTCTCAGTTGATGTAACTCGTTCAGCAAACGTACTGTCATCAACATACTTCCATCTATCGCTCCAATCAATAAGAAGATCATTTATCATAACAAGGAACAAAGCCGGCCCTAACACCGACCCTTGCGGCACTCCACCGTTTAACGTTTGCCAGTCCGAATGACAGTTAGCCAACTTGACTCGTTGTTTACGATCAGAGAGAAAACTTCTAATCCAATTTATAATGGTTTGGGAAACACTCATTTGTTGTAGCTTATTCACCAGTATGTTGTGATCTATTCGATCAAAACCTTTTTCAAAATCAAGCAAGAATACTCTCACCGCATTGCTTGAAGCATCTGTAGCACTCAGGAGGTGATGGATCAGGCTCAGTAGGGCATGGGTAGCCGAGGAATTTTTAACGGAGCCAAACTGCCGCGTATCAATCTTTGCACCAACTGACTTAAGTAACCAGTCTGTAACAAACCGTTCGCAAATTTTGGATAAAGTGGGGGTAAGTGAGATAGGGCGCAAATCTTTAGAAATGTCTTTAGGGACTGATTTTTTTGGAACAGGGATAACGTTCGCTTTTTTCCACATTGAGGGTACAACTGCATCTTGAATCGAAGCGTTGAAAATCGATGCCACAGGGGAAGAAAGAACGTATGCATAAGATTTAAGCACCCAATTAGGTATTCCGTCAGGACCAGGTGATTTGGAAACGGGGATGGCGGACAATTTACAGTATACATCTTTTTCTTCGATAATAAACTGTGGAAGGATACTTGTACTGCCATTTTCAATTAGGTCATCAACTGGAGACTTATTCAAGGGAGGAATATCTTGGGTAGATGAAACAAAAACATCATTGATTTTATCTGCTAACTCTTTACCAGCAAAAACCTGGTTGTTTACAACGAAATTAGAGAATGTTTTGTTCTTGGCGAAACCCGCAAGCTGTTTTATACATTGCCACCATTTTTTAGCATTGGGGTTTAGTTTTAACTCATCCATCTTTTTCTTAAGGAAGGTTGAACAATATTAGCACTGAATAATATCCTCATAAAAACTATTCGGGGAGTTGTATCGTTCAGTGATATGTCGACTGCGCAATTACTGTATGTATGCATTTAATGTTGTGTGTAATTCTTATTTAGGCGATGTGACACGGAACGATTTTCAATAACGATTTGCAATGCAAATTACTTCATACGAAGGTGATTGGTTCGGCAATGCATTGGGTTACGAATCCTCGTTGAAAATTGTTCCGTGTAACATCGTTTTTAATAATTATTGGGAAACAAAAGAAATACGTACATACGTACACACATACATTATTCAGCTCACTTCCCATCAGGAGTTTTCAGTAACCGATTACATCAAGTATTACGCTTATTTATATTACCTACTTAGCCTAGACCATTTTATCTTGTACAACAACTGTAATATTACTTTCCTAACTTTTTTATCCTAACCTTGTCAACTTTCCTCGGCACAGTGTTGACAGATTCTTTTCACCATAGTTAATAGAATAGATAGTTTGGAAACTCATATATTAGCATAACAATATAACTCATTATCTACGTTAGTCAACGTTTATTCATAATTATGGTGCTTCACCGTCACGCGTGTATTGTATTGTCAACCAATGGCAATTTCTAATTTTCTCTATTGTTCGAGTCATGGAAGGTAACTTTGCTAAAACTTTGCTATTGGTTAGTTGGGCAAAATATAATACACACTTGACGGTAAACGACCAGATTTATGAATAAACGTTGACTAACATAGATAATGAGTTATATTGTTATTCTGATGTGTTTCCAAACCATGTATTGTGTTAACTATGGTGAAAAGAATCCTTATTCTATTAACTATGTTTTCACATGAGTTCGTAGCATAAATTGAACCCACGATCTCAGAAGTGAAAGGCGCTTGCTGTGACGACTGCGCCACCGAAGTCCCTGACTGTGATCGTGAAGGAGCTTGTATATTTGATACAAAATTCTCACCAAGTTCTCACCAAATTCATGCCTTTAAGATCAGTAAGGAGTACAAAAACGTTTTCATCAAGACGAATCACAAGCTATGTACAGCATTCCAGCATTCACATCCGTGTTGTATAAGATATACAACCGCTTTTCCTTCGGCTCGTGTTTGTACACGGCTCTCCTGCTGTATAAAATATTACATGAGAATGAGTGTTGATGAGAGTTGACTAGGCATTTTTATGCGCGTAGCGAAAACTCTCGTGAAGTCCGATCAAAATTTGAACCAGCTCAAACCAGTTTAACGTGTTTGAGAGAAAATCTCTGATTCAAAAAGGTATACAGAGGGAAGTGGAGATATGGGGAGGAGGGCTATATAGACAAATTCGGAGTTTCCACTGCGCATCCAAATGACGCGTTCTACGCTGGAAACAAATTGCAGTTGAACTATATAATATGTAACTGAGA